GGCGCGGGGACCCGCGGTGACCCCCAGGGCGGCAGGTGGAGACGCGGGGAGCCCCGCGTGAGCCCCCAGCGGGGCAGGTGGAGACGCAGGTCGCCCCGTGTGAGCCCCCACGGCGGCAGGGCTGCGAGACGCGGGGGCCCGCGTGGCCCCCAGGGCGGCCGGCGGGAGGTGGAGGGCGCAGAGTGCCGGCTCCGCCGTGAGCCCCAGGAGCGGCGACAGGTGGAGACGCGGGGAGCCCCGCGTGAGCCCCCAGGGCGGCAGGTGGAGACGCGGGGAGCCCCGCGTGAGCCCCCAGGGCGGCAGGTGGAGACGCAGCGTGCGCCCATCATGAGCCGCCCAGGGAGGCGGAGACGCAGCGTGTGCAATGCAGAGGAAGGGTTCTCCCTGCAGGAACGTGGCCTCGGGTTCTCCACACCTGGGGGGGAGGGGCGAGGAGGAGGAAGAGGAGGAAAGGGGGGCAGCGGAGTGGTGTTTTTACGGGGCTGCAGGGCCGCGTCGGTGACCTGTCCACGTCCTCACCCCAGAGCCTGGGGACGAGACCTTACGCGGAAACAGGATCTTTCCAGATATAATTAAGCGAAGGATCTCGAGATGAGACCACTCTGAATGACCTACGGAGAGCCCTAAACCCAGCGACAGGCGTCCCCGTGAGAGACGGCAGAGGGGACGCAGACGTGGAGAAGCCACGTGGAGGCAGACGGAGGAGGCAGAGGCGGGAGTGAGGCTGCGGCCACAAGCCCAGGGACGCCCGGAGCCCCCGGGAGCCGGGAGAGGCGGGAAGGAGCCTCCCCTGGAGCCGTGGAGGGAGCGCGGCCCCGAGACCCCCGCGTCCCGCATCCCCGGGCTCCGGGACCCGGAGGGGACACGCTCCTGTGGTTTGAAGCCCCCAGTCGCGCTGAGGTGTTAGGACAGCCGCTGGGAATCGCTACGACACCCTGGTCTGCTTGGACGTGGACTTCCTGTCCAAGCTAAGCCCACGTCTGGCCCCTGCCCTGCCGGGATCTTGCAGGGCTGGGGTCCCCTTTCCCGGAGCGGCCACCTGGGGGTGCCCCCCACCCCGAGCGCCCGGTGACGACGCCCTGGGGCCCCGCGTCACCTGAGCCCATGATGTAGCGGGAGCCCCCTCCGTGCCGGTCCAGGTGAGCGACGCTGTCTCTCAGGTTGGACCTGGTGCGGGGACAGGAGGGAGCGGCCTGCGGTGACACGCACGCCAGGCAGGGCGCCGGCGCCCACGGCGAGGGTGCGGGGGCGGTGGGGCCTCTGGGGCCTGACCCACGTGGGGGCCACGCACCGGCTGTGGGCAGGGGCTCCCCGCCTCCCCGCCGCGCGCACAGCCAGGCGCCGGAACGCGGGAAAGCGGAAAGGGGGCGCTTGGGCGGGGCCGAGGCCGGGCGCCCCGCGTACCTGAGCAGGGGCACCTCGGCCAGCGCCACCTGCAGCCGGGCCTCCCTGGTGCGGGCGTGGCAGCGGAAGATGTGCAGCACCACCGTGAAGCGGTCGAACACCTGCACGCCCCACGCCGCTTCCAGCTCCTTCTGCAAAAAACGGCAGACCCAGTGAGGGGCCCCGGGGCGCCGCGGCGTGACTCCCGCAACGCACCGACCCCGCGAGGGGCGCGCCGCACCTTGGTCGGGGCAGACATCCGCTCCACGTTCAGGAACACCGACGTGATCTCCGGGGACGCTCTGATTTTTTCTGCGGGAAAGAGAAGGTCGGGTCCGCGGCTGAGCCTCGCGCACGCGTGGGCCGCCCGGGGTGCTGGCCCGCGGACGCGCCTTCGTGGGCCGAGTTCACCCACATCCCCGGCTTCCTGGGCACGCGGTGCGGGATCGGGGGCTGCCTTTAGGTGTTCACGTCTGACACATGCACACACATGCACATGTATGTACGTGCACACACACGGGCGGGGATTAGGTGCACCCGAGGGCCAGGTGGGGAAGCAGCCCCCTACCTGGCAAGCGCGTGGGGCCTCCCTGAGTGGGGCGTCAGGAACCCGAGACTGGGGGTCCCACGCAGGACCCCACCCCAAGTTGCGCTGAGAGTGGGGGTTGGGCCTCCCGGAGGGGGCGTGGCCTCCAGGGGTCTCTTAAGCTGCAGTTGCTCCGCCTTCCGCCCCGCCCACCGGGCCCTTCCCCGCCCCGCGCAGGCGCAGGCGCAGCCTCACAGGCCGCCCACCCCACCGGCGGGGTCTGGTGCAAGCTCACCTGCGCAACCTGCAGCTGCCGCCGCCGCCTCCCGCCAGCCCTTGCGGCTCCCCTGGGCTGCATTTTCTCGGTCGCGGAGACCGGAAGCGGCAGAGGGGAGGGCTGGGTCTGAGGGACTCACCTGTCAGGTGCTGGAAGTTGCCCTTGCCGAAGACGAGCTTGCTGCCGGGCGTCTTGGTGGACACCACCATGGTGCGCACCACGGACCAGCCGTCCAGCGTGTGGACCAGCGCCGTGGCCTCCGCCACCTGCCACTCGGCTGCGGGACACGAGGCGGCCGTGAGGACTCCGCCCTGGGTTTGGCCTCGGCCACACCCCCCGCCGCACCTGCCGCACCTGCCCCACCGCAGCGAAGAGGGCACTGGACCCAGCCGTGCACCTGGGGACCCAGCGCTTGTCCCCAACACCAGGGCGCTCCTCCCGCGAGGTCCCCAGGTGCACGGCTGTGGGGGCGGGAGGAAGTCGCAGCCCAGGTAGGACCCTGCGCAGGTGGGTCAGCGCTCAGGGCTGGCGCGGAAGGAGCCGGGGACGCGCTAGTGAGGAACCCTGGGGTGTCACGACGGGCTCCACACCTCTGTCCTCCAGGAGGCCCCTACCCGCCCAGGTGCGTGCGCAGAACGCGACAGGAGGACCTGCCGGAAGGTTCTGGAAGGGCCGGGGAAGGCAGCCCCCACGTGGGCAGGAAGGGCGAACAGAGCTCAGCAAGGGCTGAAGCCGGGGTCACTGGGGGGTCCCCAGGCGTCCCGGCTGCGGGTGGGGGTCTGGGAGCTGGTGGGGACAGCGGTGACACCTGGGGGTGGGAGGTGGTGGGGTCAGGGCCTGAACAGGACACGCCGGCTCCCACGCACCCTGCACGTGGCGCTTCTGGGGTGAACGACGGGGCAGAGGAGGAGGAGAGGGGGCAGAGGAAAGGGCCCGAGACGCCGGGCGGGCTCTGAAGTTGAGCAACTGTGTGGCAGCGTCCCAGGTCTGGGCAAGGGTGTCGGGCCGCAGGGTGCAAGGCCTGGTGTCCAGGCGGTGGCACCAGGCTGGCTGTCGGGTCCCAGGACAGCCTGTTCGTCCCTTGTGTGGTGCCCTCACGCCTTCCTCCCACCGCCGCCTGTGGGGTGAACGTGTCCCCAAATGCGTGTGCACAGGGCTTTATGTGGAAGAGGGTCTTTGCAGGTATAATCAGAGAAGGATCTGCAGATGGGGCCATCCTGGGTCAGGGAGGGCCTAAACCCAGTGACAGGTGTCCTCCTGAGAGGCAGCAGGCCGGGCGCGGTGGCTCACGCCTGTCATCCCAGCACTCTGGGAGGCTGAGGCGGGAGGATCGCTCCAGGTCAGGAGTTCGAAACCAGCCTGAGCAAGAGCGAGACGCCGTCTCTACTATAAATAGGAAGAAATTAATTGGCCAACTAGAAATATATGTAGAAAAAATTAGCCGGGCTCGGTGGTGTGTGCCTTTAGTCCCAGCTACTTGGGAGGCTGAGGCAGGAGGATCGCTTGAGCCCAGGAGTTGGAGGTTGCTGTGAGCAAGGCTGACGCCACGGCACTCACTCTAGCCTGGGCGACAGAGCGAGACTCTGTCTCGAGAGAGAGAGAGAGACGGCGAGAAACCAGAACTCGGAGGAGAAGCAGGGGAGGCAGACGGGGAGGCAGAGCGGGAGTGAGGCTGGCGGCCCAAGCCAGGGAGCCCGGAGCCCCGGGAGCCGGGAGAGGCAGGAAGGAGGAGCCCCCTGGAGCCGTGGAGGGAGCGCGGCCCGAGACCCGCGCTCCACACCCGGGATCCGGGGCTGGGAAGGGACAGGCTCCTGTGGCACAGGGTCACGGCCCCCAGGAGACTCACACACGGCCCAGGACTGCCTGGTGCTGCAGGCCCACTCCCGCCCTCCTCTGCCTGCTGTGCCTATTTTCCCATCTCTCAAGTCCTCTTTGTTCACGACACAGCCACGCCCCCGGACGGCCCCCGAGCCTGCACCGTGTGCACGGCGCCCGCTGCAGGGCCCCTGTGGTCTGTGTGTGCACTGGGTCCTCCCTCAGACCACGGGGGCTGGTGCTTGGCCCCCGGGCCAGCCTGCTCCTCCAGCAACCTGCGGGTCCAAGGCGGCAGGGGAGGACACCAGGGACAGGAGGCCGACGTCCATGACAAGGTCGGTGAGTGGGTGCCCCGGGCGGGTGAGGTGGGTCCTCTCTCCCGTGGGGGGACACAAAAGTTCTCAGGCTTGACTCCTGGTGGGCCCCCCCGCTTTCCTGCACCATCCAAGCCCAGCCCTCTGCGCACCTCGCGCGTGCTGTCTGCACCCCTCGCCGGGTCAAACGGCCCTGATCAAACCGTGAGGTCCTGGGCAGCTTCCGGGACCCGGCTGCTGGCTGGGCCAGGCTCGCAAGCCCACAACGCTGGACCACAATTGCACCCGGGGTGTCCTGCTGGGGAACCTGCCAGCGGGTATCGCGTGCACCGGAAAGCCCTGTTCAACCGCGGTCGTGGCACGACAAGCCCAAGAGGCGAAACAACCAAGCGTCTGTCGCCCGGGCGCCTGAACAGGCTAAACAACGTGGTCCCGCCCACCACGTCGCGTGGACCATCTAGGAAACAACGGGGAAACCGAGGCTGACGCACGGCGCTTCGACACGGATGCCTTGAAGAACCGTGATGCCAGAACGACGAAGCCAGGCGCGGGACCACACGTGAGTCCCGGCTCTACAGGAACACGGGGCGCGCGCCGCCGACAGAGACCGAAGTGGGTCAGCGGCGTTGCAGGGCTCGCGCGCGCGAGTCGCTGCTGGGGGCGCCGCGCCGGGGCTCTCCTCGCGTGGATCGGATGTTCTGCGCGCACAAGAGTGCGCTTGCACCGCGCTTGAAATGCTGCTCACGACCCCCCCGCGACTCGCGGCAGCCTTTCGCACCGGACAGTTTGTATGGCCTCTGCAAATCCTGCGTCAACAAAGGGTCTCACCAGGAAAGAGCAAAGAGAGAGGTGTCAGACCCCCCCGACTCGGGTCACTCATACTGCTCAACTCGACCCCAGCGACTCGGGGTGAACCACCGAACGCCTGCGTCTGTGACCACGAGAGCCTGTTGTGGACTTGGCCTACCCCCCGCCTGACGCCGGCGACAGCGCGCGCGCCCTTCAGGGGCTCTGCGTCAAGCTTGTCTGGAGCCCCGCAGGTCTGACAGCGCCCCAGACTCTGTGTCCTCGCGCAGGGCCTCTCTTCCCAGGGGCCTGGCTCCCGTGGGGGCCACCGCCCCCCTGAGCATCCTGCCTGCTGCCTGCAGGTGGGCCGGCTTCTGCGGGCGTGCTCCTGCACCGCCTCGGCCCAACGGGTGCGGGCGCAGCGTGCAGGGCCGAGTGCAGCTGACATGCAGGGACAATGACCGGCATGGACTCCCCGTCAGACAACTGTGCCTTCGTGCCAGGCAGTCTGGCTTTTACACAACAGCGGGATGAACGTTTCCGGTACGTTGTCTTTACACGCTCTACCGGGTGCAAAGGTTCACACGCCAGGAGCCTGTGGCTTTTACACTAACAGGTCGTGATGAACCTTTCCTGTGTAACTTGTCTTACATGTCTAGGGTCAAATTCCCCGCCCGAGCTGTGGCTTTCCTCCACGCGTCCGATGAACCTTTCTGTGTACTTGTCTTTACATGTCTAGGGTCAAAATTCCACACGCCAGGAGCCTGTGGCTTTTACACTAACAAGCATGATGAACCTTTCTGTGTACTTGTCTTTACATGTCTAGGGTCCAAAGCTCCAGACCTCCAAGGAGCCCTGTGGCTTTACAGCTAACCCAAACGCGTGATCGAACGTTTGTATTACAACAGTCTGGGTGTCAAAGTTCCCCAAGTGCGTGCTGGTGGATGAGGGAAAGGGCCCCTGACACCTGCCCTCTGGACAGCGGGGGACGGTGGGTGCTGGTCGTGTTCATCCTGTCTTCACAGACGGGGAGAAGGGACGGCAGGCCCCCGGGGGAGGGTGGGCAGAGTGGAGCGGCAGGGGGTGGGCTGGAGGACGGCAGGACCTGCAGGGTGACCGTGATGACCAGGAGGTAGCAGGACAGTGACAACCAGAGGGTGACAGTGATGACCAGGGGGTGACAGTGATGACCAGGGGGTGACAGTGATGATCAGAGGGTAGTAGGACCTGCATGGTGACAGTGGTGACCAGGGGGTGGCAGTGATGATCGGGGGGACAGCAGCACCTGCAGGGTAACTGTGGTGACCAGGAGGTAGCAGGACAGTGACAACCAGAGGGTGACAGTGATGACCAGGGGCAGACAGTGATGACCAGGAGGTGAGAGTGATGATTGGGGGGGTAGTAGGACCTGCAGGGTGACAGTGATGACCAGGGGGACAGCAGCACCTGCAGGGTGACAGTGGTGACCAGGAGGTAGCAGGACAGTGACAACCAGAGGGTGACAGTGATGACCAGGGGGAGACAGTGATGATCGGGGGGGGGGCAGCAGCACCTGCAGGGTGACAGTGGTGACCAGGAGGTAGCAGGACAGTGACAACCAGAGGGTGACAGTGATGACCAGGGGGAGACAGTGATGATGGGGGGGGAGGGGGAGACAGCAGCACCTGCAGGGTGACAGTGGTGACCAGGAGGTAGCAGGGCAATGACAACCAGGGGGTGACAATGGTGACCAGGAGGTAGCAGGGCAGTGACAACCAGGGGGTGACAGTGGTGACCAGGAGGTAGCAAGGCAGTGACAACCAGGGGGTGACAGTGATGACCGGGGGTTGACAGTGATGATCAGGGGGGTAGTAGGACCTGCAGGGGGACAGTGATGACCAGGGGGTGACAGTGATGATCGGGGGGCAGCAGCACCTGCAGGGGGACAGTGGTGACCAGGAGGTAGCAGGGCAGTGACAACCAGGGGGTGAGAGTGACAGCCAGCCGCAGAAAGTGATGACCAGGGGACAGGAGGACCTGCAGGGTGACAGTGACGAGCAGGGGTGACAGGAGGAGTTTCCGGAAGCTGCAGCGGGTGGGGGCTGCGCGCGGGCCCTCAAGGGCAGGCTGGGCAGGCACTGCGCCCTCCCACAGGGCTGACACGTGGACATACCCATCCTCGGCCCCAGCAGCTCCGCAAGGCCCCGCCCACGTGTCCACCCAGTGAGCTCCTCCCACCGGTCAGACCCGCCCATAGGCTCCACCCCAGAGTGCCCGCCCCCCGCACCTACATCCAATGACTTCCTCCCTCCAGAGTCAGGCCTCTGCTTCTCCACCCAATGAGCTCCTCCATTGTGGTCCAGCGTGGTCTTTCGCGAGAAGACCCACCAGGCAAGGGGGGT